GGACTAATATGTGATGAATTGATAGCTGGATAATTTTTAAAAATGATACATTTTTATCGGGCAATCACGGAAATAAAAGAAGACAATAGGAAATTTCGGTTATGCTTTCAAATTATTAGATTCTTCCTGTTTTAAATTAAAAAACCTAAACGATGACCAAATTTTATAACATATTAATTTTTTTTTGTCAACTATCTGTTCGCAATTATTTACATCACAAGATAAACATGATTGATATCACGTTGGATTATAGAATAGTATTGTTATGATGATATGAGTTATCTCCACGACTTTTTTTTTATCTCCACGACTTAGTGTGTGTATTATCTTAGTTTTGCTTTTACATCTGTCACATTGTTTATTGTCCACTGAGATTATTCTAAATAAGCATCAATCTCGATGTCAGAAAATGATTAGTCAAGTGGGTTTCACTAATTATTCTTTCTTTCTTTTTTTTTTCGTCGCACTAATTATTCTTTTTGTTTTAATATTAAATAACAGAATCGATGTGTGAACATGATTGCGCATCTATTCAATGCACCGTTAGGAGAGACGGAGACAGCCGTCGGAGTGGGAACCGTTGGATCATCGGAGGCCATAATGTTGGCCGGTTTGGCCTTCAAGCGCAAATGGCAGAACAAGCGCAAAGCCGAAGGCAAACCCGTCGATAAACCCAACATTGTCACCGGAGCCAATGTTCAAGTAATTAACTAACGTTTTCTGAATTAAAAAATGTTTAATAATTTTGATCAATTTTCTTATAACGATTTAAATGTTTAGGTGTGTTGGGAGAAATTCGCTAGGTACTTTGAGGTTGAACTTAAGGAAGTGAAATTGAGTGAAGGATACTATGTGATGGACCCGCAAAAAGCTGTTGATATGGTTGATGAGAACACTATTTGTGTTGCGGCCATTCTTGGTTCCACTCTTAATGGAGAATTTGAAGATGTTAAACTCTTGAACGATCTCTTGGTTGAAAAGAACAAAGAAACCGGGTAATTAATGAATATATATATATATATATATATATATATATATTTGTTTTTAGTACATTACACACTATACGATAAAGAAGAATTATATTAATTAAAATTAACAACTATGCATGTTTTTGATAGATGGGATACACCAATCCACGTGGATGCGGCAAGTGGAGGATTCATAGCACCGTTTTTGTATCCGGAATTGGAATGGGACTTTAGACTGCCATTGGTGAAGAGTATCAATGTGAGTGGTCACAAGTATGGACTTGTGTACGCAGGAATTGGTTGGGTGATTTGGAGAAACAAAGAGGACTTGCCTGAGGAACTCATCTTCCATATCAATTATCTTGGTGCTGACCAACCCACGTTTACTCTCAATTTCTCCAAAGGTAATTACCCTTTTAATATTAATTTGTTTTTCTAGTCCTAATCTTTTTTTGTTTGACTTTTAATTACTAGTCATGATCTAAAGTAGACTAGCAGCCATCAAAGTAATGGAGATAAAATTGCTTTCCCTTTTTTAATATACTGAAATCGACTCCATTTTTTTTTTTAATTCGTAGTAGTGTAGTAGTTGGTTATCAATTTGATGGAGGAATTGAGGTCAAACTTTTTTACGTTTAAAATTGGGAAACTTCACGTAAATTATTTTCACTTAACGTTTTTTCCAATTTTTTGACTTTGTACATTAGTTTAAGAAATGGGTAGTAAATTATAGTGAATCAAAGGGATGGGAGGTCAAATTTGTTTCCATTTTAAAATTGGGAAAAACGTAACTTCGTTGTCGTATTTGAAAAAGTGTGATTTTCTTTTTTTTTGTATTTTATTCACTAAAGTCTTCTGTCAATAAACGCAGGTTCAAGTCAAGTCATTGCTCAATACTACCAACTTATCCGATTGGGCCACGAGGTAAGTCAGTCCACGATCATAAATTTTACAAATCATGCTAATTAATTAGACATTACTTAACAATTAAAATGTATCAAACAGGGTTATACAAATGTGATGGAGAATTGCAGAGAGAATATGATCGTGCTAAGGAAAGGACTTGAGAAGACAGAAAGGTTCAACATCGTATCAAAGGACGAGGGAGTGCCACTTGTCGCTTTCTCCTTGAAAGATAACAGCTCTCACACTGAGTTCGAAATCTCCGACATGCTTCGCAGGTTAGTTGTCTTTAACTAAGAATATTTAAAATACTCTTTCTCTTATTTAAACTTAAGTTAAAAGATTCATAAAATACGTAATTAGATAGCTGTATGATGAATATGTAATTAATTTCCTCAATAAATATCTGAAATATAATGTAGGTATGGATGGATAGTGCCGGCCTACACAATGCCTCCAAATGCACAACACATCACTGTTCTTCGAGTTGTTATCAGAGAAGATTTCTCGAGAACACTTGCAGAGAGACTTGTGATCGATATAGAGAAAGTGATGCGTGAGCTCGATGAGCTTCCTTCGAGAGTGATTCACAAAATATCACTCGGACAAGAGAAGAGTGAAGCTAACAGCGATAACGTGATGGTGACGGTGAAGAAGAGCGATGTCGAGAAGCAGAGAGATATCATCATTGGCTGGAAGAAGTTTGTCGCCGACAGGAAGAAGACCAGTGGCATCTGTTAATCGAATATTTACTTGAAAATATTTGAAGACTTTATTAAATAATGCATTTGCATTGATTTGGAGATTTGAATGTTTCATTTCCCTTTATTGTTGAACCAAATTTCATTTGACTTTGATTTGCTTTTGATATTATAATTGCAACATTATGAATTAAGTTTATGTGTTTCTTTTTTATTCCTAGTGCATCATCCATTATACATAGGATTAAGAAATCTACTAGTTTCACTGGTATTTTAATTATATCCCATAAGCTCATAGGTTGATAGATTTGGGCTTTAACATGGGCTTCCAACTCAAAACCAATTGGCAATGAGTGGATTGGCCCTAACCCTTTATATATCACTTGATAATTTCTCTAACTTCCGATGTGGGACTTTCTCTCATTAACACCCCCCCTCACGCTCAGGCATCGTTGGCTCTGAAGCGTGGGCATATGTGGGAACAACATCCACGGGGTGGCCCGATATGGGACTTCAATAACACCCTCCCTCACGTTCAAACATGAACATCTGAAGCGTGGGCATATGTGGGAACAACATCCACAGGGTGGCCCAACGATTAGGTGGCTCTGATACCATGATAGATTTGGGCTTTAACATGGGCTTCCAACTCAAAACCAATTGGCAATGAGTGGATTGGCCCTAACCCTTTATATATCACTTGATAATTTCTCCAACTTCCGATGTGGGACTTTCTCTCATTAACATAGGTAGACAACTCAAAATGGGGTAAACGTTTTTTTTTTTTTGTGGTAAAATTCGTAAACAAACTAAAAATCATGCATTAAATAAGACAGATGTAGGTTTATAGAATGCATTTTACATGAATATTTGACCTTCCAAGTGAATTTCAACTGCTACCTAAAGAAGAAGACTAAACATTCAGTAGAGTTTTCTGAAGTATTATTTTGGATCCATGCATATTGGTAAGAAATTTGTAGATATAAAATTACCTTGAAAATAGATTAAGCAATCAAAACAAATTTATTTCAACTATGAAATTTAAATTTAATTTTTCATTGACTAGTTTTCCTGATTTACTGTTAGTTTAGTTCCTTTAGCCTTTTTTTTTAGAAATAAAACGAAAAATAATATTAAAAAGCTTTGTGATAAAAAATAAAACGAAATTTAATTTACTTAAACAAAAATTATAAAACAAATATTAATCAAAAAAAGCAATAAACCTTAAAACCTAATTAAGACGTCGTTTGCGCTTCTTCTTCCTCCTTGGTCTTGCAAATTTGCAATCGTGAATCGTTCTTCCCTTCGACCTCATCAATCTCCATCAAAGCAACAATATCAGATTCATCTTTCTCTTTTTTTCACTTTGCTTAGACTTGAGTTTTGAATCAATTCATGTTTGTCAATTGATTTTTTATATGCGTTTAAACATTAGACAAACAACTTTCTCTCTACGACTCTATCTCTTCCTTGTACAGAAAGTCATACTAACTATTGATTTGTTCAATGATTGCAGGAAGATGACTTCGAATCGAATAAGACACCAGCCAGGAGGAGCATCAAAAGTAAGAAAAAAGAAGAGACAAGAGAAATTAACAAAATCAATGGAAAACTCGATGTTGAGGTATGTAAAAAAATCTGAAACTTCTAAAACTGATGAGCCTTTAGAAAAAAGAGATCAATATGAGTAGTGAAGAAGCTGGTATTTCAGAAACTTGTGAAGATGAAATTGGTGAACATGGTGATGAACACGAGTGTAGAAAGAAAAAGAATGAAAATGCGAATGAGTGATATGGAGATTGAAACTGAGATTGAGAGTGATAATGGGAATGATGAGAAACTTGATTATAAAAGCTTGATGAATGAGTTTGCAGGAAGAAATGCATTGAGAATTGTTAGATTTGAAGAATAATATGCTTATTTTTTTTTGTGTTTTACAATATCTACAAATTAGAGCTTTTGTTTAACATTTAGACTATTTTAATTGTTTTTGCTTTTTTTTAATATAAATATGAGGCATCCTTTTTTTTTCCTTTGATTGTGGCCTTCATAAACGTTGAGCCGGCTCTGGTGGTACGATGCCCAAAATAGATATAGGCCCAAAATAAAAGTTACCCTGCGAGAGAAGGAAATTAACTTATATTGAGAGAGGCCCTGGTCTTTTTTTTTAAGGTTTGTTTTGCATATGTTGTTAGGATCACGATATCACTCGACTCTCGCATGGTTGGGAACGTATTTGTTCCAAAGATATAAGTCTATAACCATCTCGAAAATATAGGCATGTATTCTAAAATGTAAAAATGTTAAACATAAAAGTTAATTTTCACTTTCTTCAATTTTTCCGTTTCTTATGTGGTTAAGATCAACTATACCATACTGTGTAAATCATGATAACAATGCACACAGATTAATAATTAAAAAGCACTGATATCTTTATTAAGAAAGAAAAACTTTGAATTCTGGAAGAGTAACATACTAAAGCATAAAAAGTGAAAAAGGAAAACATAACTAAAAATGAAACTACTGAGAAATCAATACTTCATAAATTCCTAATAAAAACCCTAAGCTGGCGAAGGAGCGGAAGGAGTGGATTTAGCTTTGGTAGAGCAATGAAGCTTAACCAAACAGTCAAAGAAAGGGTTGTGGTACGCTCCAAAAACAGTCTTGTCACAATCTTCATCCATCTTCTGGATAGAGGCACAACAATCCAATCCAATAGCGGGTTTGCGCGTGAAGAAAGCTATAGCGATATCCGCAACACATGTTCTTACATCCTTGCAATCGGCCAAGCATTTGGTTACAACCGGTGGTGGATGAAATGGGATAGGGTGGAAGCCGGCCGGGATTGGTGGGAGAGCCTTTCCGGTGGTGGGGAATGGCCAATGTGGCTTAGGGTGATAGTGAGGGTAGAAATGATGGTAATGCCACCATTCGAGCTCTTCAGTACGTAATGGAAATGAATCTACATTTTTTGCTGTGACTTGAGATGTGACACAGCTTGTGAAGAGTATCATGGCAACAACAAGAATTGCGAGATTCTTCATTTTTGGATTTTTGGGATCTTTTGAGGCTTGAGTATGTGAAGTGAGAAGAAATGGGGTTTTGATGGTTTTTGAGATGAAATGACGTTCGGGTTTATATAGAGGTATTAATTAGGGTTTTTAGATTATTTTTTTTCGTTAGTGATAATTTCGAATTATGTATATTATTGGAATATTCTCTGATATTCTCGATGTTTAATTGAGTTTTTTCTCACGGCGTAAATACTTGATGTTTGTTGTGAATATGCGACCTTTTTCAAATTATGGCATTTATTTGTTTCATTAATTTTTTATCCATTTTATTGAACTGATCTCGCTATATGTTTAACATGCATGCTCCCTATTTTACAGGTTAGTTGTTTCTAATAAAGAAGAATATGCTGGAATTAAAGTGTTAATTTTGGGATATTCCAACAGAAATATATACTTCGTATATTTGGGTATTAAAGATATCGAACATTCGTTGACAATTAAAGAAGAAGATGCCATATCCCCCACAAAAAGGAGGATAATTGACTAATTGAGTGAAGGAACTGGAGGATAGTACGGAACCGTTTCATGTAAACAACATTCCCCAGAAATGGCTATTTTGAACTCTATTTAATATACGGATGACAAAAAAAAAAAAAAAAAGAACTGAGGATAGTACTTAAAGGCCGACAACTATAAAACCACAACACGGTCCATAAGAAGGAGGGCCTAAAAAGTATATAAAGATGATAGCCCAATGTAAATAAATTTATCTCGTAAAGGCTCTGGTTTTCTTAAAAGAAGGAAAAATTTAAATACACCAAGAAAATCGGTTTGTTCATACTCTTACAAATAAATTATGAGAAAACATATTCAAAATAATTATAAAATATGAATTTTATACTTTAATTTTATGGTTTGTTAAAATCATACATTTGCCTTAACACTGTTAAATGTCGTGAAATCTCAATGATTTTCATGTGTGCAACGACGTTTCTGAAATGAGAAGGCATTAAGAAAATGCATGGTTAACTATTAACACTTTTTTACCAATCATTTTCATATCCCAGTTTTTTTACAAGTTTAACGTCTCACTGTTTTCGATTGTGACTTCGATGATGAGATTTTAAAACGTCTATACAATTTTTCAAAGTTATCAAAATATAATTAGTTGATTTTTTGGCAGCATGTATAAGCCGGACCGGAGGATATTGGTATGAAACATTGCAATGAGGCCCCCATTTTAGAGGGGCCCCACAAAATTACTTTTTTTTATATATATATATATGTATATCATTTATTATATATAGATCTTAAAATATTGTGTATACCTAAAAAATATATAATTATTATATATAATTGAATGATAAAAAAAATAGTAAGTTATTTTTTCCCTACAACCACAAGATTTTCCATCTAATAAGAGAAAATATTTTATTTAAAGAAATTCTAAAACAATCAAGAGTAATTTGCTTTAACAAATTATTTTTATTCTAGTTTTTTTTTTTAATTTTATGAAAATTTTGATATTATTTTTTTTTTAATTGTTTGGGGCCTCCAATTTTGTTGGTCCGGCTCTGATAGTACTGCTTCTAAATTATTATTCACATGATGTATTGATAGTACTGCTTCTAAATTATTATTCACTAGAGACCAAAATCATGAAATTCTGCGACGATATTTGTAGCACACGAAACTCAGTGGAGAAAATCACGAGTGGCACACAATTTGACAGATTCAAGGGAAATGTTGGCGAGAATCATTATAGTCGAGTGCATATCTCGTTAATTAATTTTTTTTTGGTCTTTATACAAATAATTAAAAATTAATCTAAACAAAATGTATGCACCATATGATTTGTTTCATAAGATCGTTTACCTCCTTTCAAGAGATCCCCAGCAACTAAATCTCTCAGCATAAGAAAATTGTTATGCAGCAGTAATAAGAATATTCAAGTGGCTAAAAGTACTAAATTTTTATCATATATATGAAACATCATTGCTTATATTATTATATATGAAACATTATTGCTTATATTATTTTTTTATTTACGCATCAATTCACTTACTAACGTTCAATTAAATTTATATAGTTACCAAGTCATGGGTGATGGTGCATGCTTAACGTTCTCGTGAGTAGATCCTAATAAAAACTCGCAATAGTAACATGCATGAATCATGATACATGGTATATATATATAGTGATTCAAATATTAATACAAGATTTGAAGATTGTTTTTTTAGAAAAAAATTAAGTTTTGAAGATGGTTACATATGATTTTAATTTTTTTTTTTTTTTTAAAGAGTTTACTTCGAAGAGGTTTGTGTGAATGTGTTTATATTGCAGTCAAGAGTATATGAAAGATTCAATTATAAGCAGTTAATGCTTAGATTCTACAATGATCATATGATATTTCAGAACATAAAGTTTGATATAAACTTGTGATTAAAAAAGGATGGGAGTCCCATGGATAAGGGGAACAGTCGCATCTCCAAGTCAAAGGATCCTCCAAATCAGAGGAAAGGTTCGTTCGGTTCCGTAGAGCATAGCAATCACCAAATCGAAAGTACGAAGGATGCATGGGTCCCATTCGCAACTTATATTAGTGGAACGAACTTTATTTTATAATCTTATCATTAAAATTCGAATTATTCGTGATTATAATAAATCATCATTTCAAGAACTTGCTGTGAGATAACAACTGGAAGTCATAATAGTATTAGATTATGTTGCGTCCTTCCATATACTACGTGGTATGTTGTTGTTAAATCTTAACTAAAATGTAGTTTATTCGGTTTTAAAGCAAATTTCATTTCAGTTCACCCTTGATATTTACTCGAAGTTATCATCAATTCAAAATAATTAAATTTGATTCAGATTCAATGTGAGTTTTTATATATTAGAAAAAAACATGTTAATCGAAAATAAATCAAATTTTAGTTTTAGCAAGTTCAAATAATCCCCTATATATTAATTGAGAAGCATTTTAAATAAAAAAACTTACCTTCACATGGGATTTATAAGACCGCCATGCTGACATATCGCAACCAGAGAAACTCTCAGCAAACTTAATAATTGTCCAATATTTACTAGACTAATTACATATAATGCCATTAGCAATTAATAAAGGAAATTAATTAATAAAACTATATATATTGACGAAACAAGTAAAAAGTATAATAAATCATTAAAATCATGTTAATCGAAAATAAATCAAATTTTAGTTTTAGCAATTTCAAATAATAAGCTTTTAATTTATTCGTTTTTATATGACCAATACATACTCGACTTTCTCTTTAAGCTTTATTAAAAAAAAAGTTACAAACTATTGAAAAAACCCCGAAAATTTAGAAACTTTATTAAAAAATACAAACTATTGTTGCAACTCCGATTTGAATAACCATGAAGTAGTATTGAACTTAACCTTTTACCAAAAAAAGAAAAAAAAAAACTATTGAAGAAATTTTCCTTTTGTTTCAGTTAAAGTTAAACCTTATAAAAAAATTACATTTTATAAACTTATAACTAACTTTTATTGACAAAAAACAAACTTATTGTTTCCCCGTCAAATATTTTTGGCCATTTACAACTGATAACTTCTATGTAGGTGCTAGAGTAAAGTGATAAATAATGATAAGAGAAGATTTACCTAAAATGACCATAGACTTCTGAAAAACACGGCTAATATATTTGAATACTATATAATGCAAATACGCGGATTCAACCATATAATGTCAACCTCTATATGCACAACTGTCTATCTCCACCTTATTATAAAATAAAAATAAAATTTTATAACTCTGTTTTCCTCCAAACATTTTCTTGTATATATACTCTCATCTCTTCTTGGATCCTCTCCTAAAAACAAACAAAACTTCTTCATAGCTTTTACTCCAACAATCTCTCCTCGAATTCGATCTTTCTTCACTTAATGGGAAACTACGTTTCTTCCGCACTAAGCAAAACGTCGTCGTCCTCTTCTTCTTCATCGGCGGCGAAAGTGATTCTCCCGGACGGTGGAGTGCGTCACATTCACGCGCCGATGAAAGCCGCCGAGCTTATGATGGAGATTCCAAGCTTCTTCCTCGTCGACGCTAAGTCGTTAAAGATCGGCCGGAAGTTTTGTCCGTTAGCAGCCGATGACGACCTTCAAATCAAAGGCTGCCACGTGTACGTAGCTTTTCCTATGACGCGTGCCACGTCAGCTGCTAATGCTTCGGATTTGGCTCGGTTATTCGTAGCTGCTAAGAAACAGCGCCGCCGCCTGGGAAGTGATCATTCTTCCGGCGCTGTGAAACACTGTCATAATAACGGAAGGGTTTCGCCGGACGGGGAAGAAGATGACGTCAGAGTGATATCGGCGGGATCAAAGCTGAATTTAGAAGATATTGAAGAGTTCTCGGCGGCGGAGTTTATGCATAGGATCTCAGTTTCAAAATCTAAGAAACCAAAGTTAGAAACTATAGCTGAAGAATCTTTGTCTTAAACAAAAAATGAAATTTCATTTTTCAGAACTTTTTTTCATTTTTATTTTTGGTTGTTGGTTTGTTAATCCACTCCACGCAAGTGGTTTCTCTTTTGTGGTTTTAATGAACAGAAAGAGACATTAGTCGAGAATGAACATGTGATTTTTTTTTTTTTCATATTTTTTGTCCGTTTACATGAAAAGCAATATTCCTTTGTTACTCGAATAGTTGAAAGTTGACACTCATTAGCCTTTCCTTTGGATTTTATTTCAATAAAGAAAAGATAAAATTATACAAATTAAAGGATGACACTTACAAAAAAAGTTAATCATCAATAAATAGCAGAGAGTATTTTGCAAAAAAGTATGAACTATATAATTTTTGTTTAACACCAAATCGAGGTTAGAGGAGCATTACACAGAACCATTTGTAATACACTAATTGTTACAAAAAACTGAAGCAAGGGGTGAATTGAAGGAGTATATAGAATAGAAGAAGCTATGTTGCATGGAAACGGGAGCGGGTACGCGGAAACGGAATCGTTTAGAAGCGCTGAAGCGATTTTTTAGAAAATTTTACGGAAGCGGTACGCGATGGAAGCGTATAGTATATATAAAGAATATATATATATGTATATATATATATAACTATATATTAAACATTATATCATATTACAAGTTATATTAACCCCATAAATCTAATAAATAAATTTTAAAAACTAAATTTAAAAATTAAACCAATTTTTACAACAAACAAAATCAAATAATTCAAGAAAAAAATTATAACACTATATTCATTCTTTTTTTAAATAACATCAAACAAAATCGTTTCAAATTATGTATATTATAGGTAAAAATATGATCAAACTCAAGTCTCTCGAAATTAATCTAAATTAATTAATCATTTATAATATCTCTCACATATTAGATTCATGTCATTGCTATTTTCTAAACATAATTTTGTTAAAAATAAAATACAAAGATTAGTATGCAAAATTTTTAGTTTGAGTTTGTTTGATTAAAAATAATAATTTCATGTTTTATTTGTAAAATTGAATTTATAAAATGGAAGCGCAAGCTTCCAAACCGGAATCGTAAGCTTCCAACGAGCTTCCAAAGTTGAATTTTTGGAAACGCGATGGAAGCGAGATTCCGAAAGCTTCCAAGAGCTTCCGATTCCGACTAAGATTCCGAAGCGGGAAGCGGACCTCCGACGAAGCGGACCTGCGTTGTTTTGGGAGAGAATATTTTTTTTTTTACTAAATATGAATATTTTTAAATCTTTAAAAACAATTTACTTAAATTCACTCTCAACAATTGATTTAAAAAAAAAAAACTATAAACCATTGATATGTATATATAAATGAATCTGCGACAAACACGATTCACTCTCAAAACAAACACGATTTGATTACATAATATACGAATCTGCGACTTAAGATATCTAGTTATAGTAGTCATTTTCACGTAAAGAGATGTGTTGGTCATGTCGGTTATTTATTTTTTTTTTAGTTGCAACGTTTAAGCTTCAATTTTTTTTTTTTTTATTAAGTGCGTCATCAATTAATCTATTAATTAAATAATCACGTATTATGTTTAAACCCGAATAATAATAATAACGTGCCCATTGGTCCCCTTGACACGACGCCGTCGCCGCACGTCGCCGTTCGTCTCCTCCTTTGATAAACAGAGAGGCTCCAAGCCTTATATATCTCCCGATTCCCACCAAAATCAAACGCAGTACAAGGACGATTCTCGCCGGAGATTTCAATTGTATCACGATTCAATTTTTCCATTGCAAGGCCAAGGTTCGATTTCCTAATCTTTTTTTCTAACGAGCGCCGGTGACGATTTAGGGTTTTAGGATGATCGTGTTCAATGCTTGATGAATCAATCTACACCCAAAGAGAAAGTGAAACATTGTGTTCAATGGGTGATGAGAATCTTTCTGACAAGCCTCTGGATGAGAAGGTTTCATTGGATTTGACTTGTGGTAAGGAGGAGATTTTGGAAGAGCTTAGGATTTGTTTACCTAAATGGGTTACACAAGACCAAGTAACAGATATGATTAGAGGGACATGTAGGAATATAGTCGAAATTGTTGATAATTTTTACGAGCACGAGACTAAATTCTATGAGCAAGTCTCTGCTGTTATATCTTTCACTTCTAGAGATGGGATTAGTTCGTGCAACCACGAAGCACTTGTTTCGAAACTGGAGTTTGTTCAGTGTGAAACCGAGCGGAGTGAAAGTTGTCAGCCATCGCAGTTTCACAAGCTTAAGAGCATGAGTAGTTCTCAGAAGAGCAGCATTTCTCCTGTGAAGAGGAACAGAAAGATAAAAGGTAAACCAAAGAAGAAAGGAAAAGCTTGTTCTAAGGTTGAATCTGTAGGCCCAAAGCAAGCTTCAATAACTAAATTCTTCAACAAAGTTCCTTCAGATGAAACCAAGGTTTAGGAGGCTAAAGAAGTGTATTTCTGCCAATGCTAATAGAGGGATGAGCTGTTGCTTGATATCAACGGATACTACCGCATTGATACTACAGCTGAGCGAGAATGTTGGAAGATTGGACTTTGCTTACTCATATACAGAATGGCAAGCCAACTGTGAATCTTGGAGTTACAATTGGCTCATCGTCATGGCAACTATGACCGAAAGATCTTGCCCTGGGACATTTTTTGCAATGTAAGAAGCTCAATGTTTTGTCTACGTTTGCCTCATTGAGAAAGCTGTAATCATATATGCATACATTGTCATTTAGTTGCAGATTTATCAAGTTTTTGACTCGGTGTTGATTCCAAAGAGCATTGCATTTATGTTTGAATGTTATCTGATTCCTACTTTCAATTTCCCTGATCTTATTCTGGTAATGAGCGTATGTTGCTTAACTCAACCCAGTGTTTGATTGAGGAGCTTTTTCCAAAACTTATTAGCACTGAAGATGGAAAAAAGAACAAAAATGAACAGAAGTATTTTGTCTTCTTTACAATTTCAAAACAACTGATTCTATGATACTGTTACAAAGAAAGGAACTTTCTATCCTCAAATCATGGTTCTGCTGCATTCTATTGAATATGATCTCTAGCAACAACTTCCATTGTCCTAAAACCTTCTTACAACAAGTTGAATATTGCTTCGCGAGATCCAAGCCATGCCCCGTGGCTAATGCTATCTTTCTGGTGGTCTCTTTGTCCTGAAAAACCAACATTAGAGGTTTCTGTTTCCACTAAAGATTAAAAAAAAAACATAAGAACTCAAGAAGCCGGAGAAAGGTCAGTCTGTAAGTACTTTCATCAGCAGACCAACACACAACTGAAGGGACAGAGTTGGAGAATTTATTTTCAGACATAAGTTGACCAGATTTGATACTCCAAATGCGAGTATAGCAGTCATCTCCTCCTGAATCAAACACCCAAGCCAAATAAACGTAAATCATCTCATTATGAACAAACTCTTGATGCTTTTCCAAGATCCAACATAGCGGTTATGGTTTCGGAACAAAGGGGGTTCCTCTTTATTACCTGACATAAGAAATCTTTCTGACGGGTCGATGCCAAATTCAATGCGAGTATGAGAATTTACATGTCCTTCATATGTCTGTACACCGACCCCTCTCTTAACCATGCGTTGATCGTATAGCTTGATCTAAGAAAAGAGAAAAAATGCTCTTGTCAGTCTCGTAGTAAGTATATGCAGAAGATAGAGCTAGTAGGTACTCACTGTTCCATCCATGGAGCTTGCCATTAAGTACTGATCAGAAGTTTTTAGTGTCTTCAGGCTAGAGAAGGAAGGAGAAAATTAATAGAGTCAAAAAAACAAAGAAGAGGATTTTCATATACGGTTTCAGTTGTTTACCAACCATGTAACAGATGACGGCATATAGATTACATGAGACGGGTTTATGTTTCCTTGGAGCTGCAAAAATGATAATTATAGAAAACTATCACCAGAATGCTGTGAGGAAAGCTCAAGAGGAAAATATGAAAAGTTGTGACCACAACAAAGTCGTTGCATGATCTTAGCAGTACCTCGAACCATTGTTTCTTTGTAGTAGTTTGACCGGTTTTACTCGATGATTGATATCGTATCTGGTGTCTAGTGAGCCTTGGAAAAGGTCTCCCTGGTCTCTCACGTAAATCCACTGACACAATGGCTCCATTTCTGAGTCCGCAATGAACAATGTTTCCCTGGGAAAAGAAGTAGAAACAAAACATAAATACATGTGTCGTTCAGTAAAAATGAAGACATGACTTTAACTTGTCAGAAGGAGGTTCAGACAGCAACTTGGCTCTAGTTATATATTCAACTAAGAGAAACAGTATTGAGCTGCTAGAAAACGATGCATCTTGGAGCTTCGAATTAAGAGAACAATACCGATTGATGAAATTGTAGCGTAAAAACATCGCTTTTGCTTCGGAGAAAGTATGAACCTTTTCCTGTTTCCAAATCAACCAAAGCAGCTCCTAAGTCGGTACCTGTAATATATCAAAATCGTTTAATATTTTCCATATGATTCCTGAAATTACTGAACCGAGTGCATTCACAGAAAAAGCATTGGTAATCTCTGCATTGCCTTCTACAGTTACTTTGCTCTCTAGGTATAACTGTAATTGTAATAAAGAAAAGTCCTGGGTGACAAAAATATAACACCGTAAGAAAGAGAAGGTACCAATAGCTGCATGACTCCCACTTATATTGCAATCAGCTGTCCAAATGGTACATTCAGAGGAAACATTCCCTTGGAGGCTTCGCGTAATAAGTATGTTCACTTCCTCAGCAACATTTAAGATAAAAATCGACCCCCCACGGCCAGTTGATCCCAGTGTAGTTATCCTGTTTTCTCGTGTCAAGATTTTACAAATGGGAAATCAAGCCCGAAAGTAAAAGAGAAGACACATTTAGAGGATACAATGCCCGGTTCACGGGGTGGGAGTTTTCAGATGCATCAAATCTTCCAATTAACTCAATAGAAGATATAGTAGATAAGGCGACCAGACAAGGTTGCGCAGGTTTCCATATATACTCAGGTGCTTCCGGTTCTTCTGTATCGTTTTCTTTGCGAGGAAGAACAGAAACTGGATCACACTCGATTACACCATCGTATACTTGTCTATCTTTGGAAACTCTTAGAATGCTGCAAGAAAAAACTTCCAAAGCATATAGGTTGGCATGAAATAACTTAAACAGCTCAACTAACTCTTCAATAAATCGAAATACATAAAGTTCCATGAAGATAATAAACATAATTTTTCATAGTCCAATCTTGAAACATCGAAAATTCCAAGAAAGTGACTAATACATACCTCAAACAACCACCAGCACTGCCTGCTACTAGGATGTTCTTTCTGGTCAAGCCTACAGATGTTTGTACATCAACCTGAAACTGTTTCAAAGCAGTATCGCCTATGTCTTCTGTGGATCCGTATCTCCATACCTAAACATAAGAAATGTTTCATATCTGTCTTCTGTAATCTTGAATAAGAAACATAAAGGTTAAGTTATTGGTGGTAATACCACAGGATAAGAAGCTTGTGTCTTTTGAATCTCGTCCTTGAAGTTAGACATCTTCTTATTGACAGGAATAACATTGCCATTCAACTCTCGGGAATAAACTAGCTTCAATGCTTTTATTTTAGTCCTCTTCTGATAATTAGTTTCCTGATCCAATTTCAATATAAACTAATCACTGATTCAAGCTAGAGAAGATGGACAATTCACATTGATTCTGCAAGACTCGACCTTTACACAAATTCGTAAGTAGTTGAAATTTGAAGTAAACCGACCTGTTCAGGCTTTGGGTCTGGTTTTTGTTTCGTTCTTGAAGAAGAAGAAGACTTTGCCCCAGGAATAGGACCTTTAATGGGGAAATATCTGTTCTTCTCCTCGTCGTAATAAAACCCAGGAAGTTCTGAGAACAAAAACAAAAACAAAATCCCACATCAAAATCTCAGATACGCCATTGAAAATAGAAGAATCGTCGAGGAAGAAGATTCAAAGACCTGGCTTCATGTTGTGTCGGAGTCGACTCTGTTCTCTCTGTTCTTCTCAGACTCCATTAAAGGCGCTATACAAATAGCTTTTAGGTTTTGGTTAAACCAAGGACGCTTAAGAGAATTGAACCGGAAACGTGTATTTTATTCAATCGTGGTTTAAACTGAACCGGTTATGATCCGGTTTACAATAGTCAAAAACTGAAATCTAAAACGCTTCTTTTTTTTTTTGTTCACAACAAACAACTTCAACATTATTATTAAATCTCTCCACAAAGCTTTTAGTTCTTGTGCTGTAATCTCCCACTTTCAGCACCAGCAAAAGGATCGATGATGACGTTAACCACTGCGGGTTTTCTTGCGGCGAACGACTCAGCGAGAGTGGATTTAAGCTCATCGGGTGTCTCCACTATATAACCTTTGCCTCCAAATGCTTCAATGAGCTTGTGGTAGCCTGCATTAGGAACAAATGATGTTGGTGCTGGATCTTCTTTATGAGGACCTGAGATTTCTTCAGGTCCCCTTCGATCACCACCATAGACACCACCATTGTTGAAGACTATAATCACCACAGGTAGATTGTATCGAACCAATGTCTGCAATCAATCATCAAAGAAAAACGCTTATCCATATAAGATTCAGACAAAAGACAATTCTACATTATGCTAATCTCATGTAAATGTTTTTACTACCTCAACTTCCATGGCGCTGAATCCGAAACCAGAGTCTCCTTCAACCGCAACAACAAGCCGATCAGGAGAAGCAACAGCAGCAGCAATACAATAACCTAAACCAACACCCATAGTTCCCCAAGTTCCTGCATCAAGCCTTGTCCTTGGCTCTTTCTGAACCAATACCGATCTTCCTACATCCATTGTATTAGCTCCTTCCGATACCACAACAGGACTCGGTCCTTCCACCGCCAAAATAGCGTCTCTGATTATCCTCATAGGAGTCAAGAAATTGAAAGGAACCACATCTTTAGCAAGCTGTGCCTCCATCTTCTCACCGTTCTCTTTCGCCTTCTTTGAAATCGATTCCACCCACGAATTAGACTTCCCCAAACAAAAAGGATCTTCTTTGATCTCCTTGTTCAACAATCCAATCACTGTTCTAGCATCTCCAACAATGCCCAAGTGAGGTTTCCTAAGCTCAATCTCTTCCTCAGAGACATCCACCAATATAAATTTCACATCTTTATCCCATTTAGGCGACTCTCCGAAATGAAGAAGCCAGTTAAGCCTAGCTCCGACCACCAAAGCAACATCACATTTCCCAATAGCAAGAGACCTCGCCGCAGTCGCCGAGAGCTCGTGTGTATCCGGTAACAAACCTTTACCCATCGGAGTTGGTAAGAAGGGTATTCCAGTAATTTCAACAAGCTTCTTCAGCTCATCCTCTGCTCTCGAATACGCAGCTCCTTTACCAAACACGATCAATGGCCTCTCAGCTTTCCTCAGCAACGAAACCGCCGATTCAATCTCCGATCTCAGAGACTCACGAATCGGTTCTTGCTTTAGAGATTTCACAATCTCATCCACCAATTTATCCGCTTCCGATTCCGAAATCTTCTGACGCAACACATCAGTCGGAATATCCAGATAACACCCACCGGGTCGACCCGCAACAGCTCGATCCAAAACCCTAGAAACACAATTAGGGATTTCTCGAACATCTTTCGCTTTCTCCGATAATTTCGAAAAAGCTTTCACAGCTTCGATCTGATCAAGCTCCTGAAAATCTCCACGACCAACATCTCTCTGATCACAAGAACCAGAGATCATCACCATCGGCCAAGTATTAGCCCAAGCGTTGGAAAGACCCGCGAGCCCGTGAACGCAACCCGGACCCGAAACCGTGAGAAGGATACCGGGTTTACCCGTGAGGTAACCGTAAGCGGAAGCGGCGTATCCGGCGGATTGTTCGTTGTGGAAGGCGATGAAACGTATACCAAGAGCCATAGCTCGGCTAGCTAGAGACGTGACGGGGATTCCAACGACGCCGAACATGTGGGTGACGCCGAGATGAGAAAGTGACTTGGCCACGAGAACGTTGCCATCAATTGACGGTGGAGTGGTTGCTGAATTATCCGCCATTTTTTACAGATGCTTTTCTTGATTTGCTCAAGTTTCAGTTTCTTTCTTTATATAGGCATATTTGATTTGTGTGTTTTACTCTTACTTGCACACGTAATTATGTGTTTTGCATTAATGGCTACTATTAGCCTATTATTCACCAAAATAATAGTATTATTTTCGCATTTTGTGTGTTCTACAAACTTGTACACGTAGTTATGTGTTTTGCTAATTTAAAAGCTATCCACATAGCAAATAGTAAATTCTCAACAAAATGATATCACCAAACTATTTTATTGAACTTTTTTTCAATTTTTTTTATATGTTGCAACTTACATTATTCAAAAGTATATGTCCAATAAATTTATCTTTGGTTTTGGTCACAACTCACTAGCAAGTCCTACTCACCTAATCTTCTCAATAATTTGGATTTGATTGTGATGAAATGATAAATTTTTGAGTTCAGTTTGGTTTTGGTACAAGTGACCTTGTATAGGGCTGCCCACCATAATTGTTTTGTAGTTGGCAAAGAAAAACAAATCAAAATTGGATTTGTGCTTTTTATACAAAGTGGATGATTTTGACCACGACAAAACTAGAGCACCACTCAAAGATTTCTCATGATCATAATGTATATTATTCTATAGAGTATATGCGACTCTACAAAACAAAAACATTTTTTCTCCAACGGTAGTGAATTCCACAACCGATTGAGCTAACAATTTTTAAAACTTTCTCTAATCTACAAATACGTTTTTAGAATGTCAACATCATATGATTTTTATCAAATAAAATTGGACTCGTTTAATTTATTAAAGAAAACAGAAGAGCTTGACAAAAAGAAAAAAACAGCAACGTGTGGAACCATTAACAATCAAACATCTTTAATGGCACGCACGTCCTCTCTCCAAATTTTTCCTCACGTATACATACTCTCAAAACATTCAAGAACCAATGCTAAGGTTCCGATTTGAGTTATTTTTGTTACAAAAACATGGCGAGATCGCTCAAGAAATCAGCCAAGTTGAGTCTAAGAAGAGTCCGGATCAATTCACCTTCGATTAGGTTCAAACCGGACTCGAGTTCCATAGAGAGAGACCAAAGAATCGAGTTTCTAGGCGAAAATGGTGATGATGCCGGATCCGGAGAAGAAGAAACCAAAGAAGAAAACAATGAAAGTGAAGAGGTTGAAGACAAGGAAGAAGAAATAAGAGTCAAAGTAATTGTAGAGGAGGAAGAAGACAAAGAACAAGATGATGGCAAGAGCTTTAACAATGGATGCGGAGAAGGAAAAAAAGAGGCCGTGGCAGCAGTTGAGGCGGTTGAGGAGGAGGCGGAAGGCGGGAACAGAGTAATGGTGGTGGTTGATAAAGCGCTTGCTTCTACCGGAGCTTTAGAATGGGCTATTACGCATACTTTACAACCACAAGACACTCTTTTTCTGTTATACTTTGCAAAACCGTTTAGAAAAAGTTCCTCTCTTTCTCTCCTCTTGTTCATTTTCTTGTTTAAGGTTTGTTTGGTTTGGCTAACAAGGTTTTTCGGATTGTGTTTTAGGCAAAAGGAAGAACCGAAAACGCGAGGTGAAAACCGATGAATTGGTCCATACTTTGAAGAAACTGTGCCAAACAAAACGTCCCGGGGTGAGTCACACTTGGTATTCGATTGTTTGTTTATACGTATAATGAAAGCCACACTATTTACTGTTTTGATCAAATTCTTTTTCTAATTGGTGATGTGTGGATTCCTTCTATATATGTCAGATAGAAGTGGAGATAAGGAGGTTAGAAGGGAAAGACAAAGACAAAGGACAAAAGATAGTTGAAGAAGCAAAGAAACAAGAAGTGAGCCTTTTAGTGGTTGGACAAGAGAAGAAACCTCCGGTGTGGAGGCTTTTGAAGAGATGGGCATGGAAGAGACGCCGTGGGCATGGAGGTGTTCTCAAATACTGTCTCGAAAATGCCTCTTGCATGACAATTGCAGTTAAACCCAAGAACCGCAGGCTCGGTGGTTACTTAATCACCACCAAACGACACAAAAACTTCTGGCTCCTAGCTTGAGAACAACGCAAGTTTTCCTCTTTTGTGTTTGTATCATCAAAAAGCTTTTTTACGTTTTCGCCTTTTACATATCCCATGAATGAAACAAGCTTTGCACCAATACACAAAAAAAAAAGTAAAGAGGCTTTGGTTATTGAAAGCCAATGTATCTGCACAAGAATTATCAACAATTTCCCCTATCTTCTGCTGCTTCAATTGGTGAATAATTCCAAGATTCTGTTAATTAGCACAACACATTGGAATAAGTGAGACTTCTTGGTGTTTGCTACCTTTTCTTTCTTGAGCTGAGTTTTCATTGTCATAATTTCTGATTTGATTCAAAACTACTGAACCCAATGCTTATAAGCAATCCGGTGAAGCTGATCATACCCTGCAAGAACTCCCGCTCCTGCTACTCCAAGAAGCATGTTCGCAGTAACTCCTCTATATAGCGCATAGAACCCTTCTGATTTCATTATCTCTGTTAAGGCGTGAATAGCATTCCGGTATTTTACAGGTTGTCCTGATGTAAGCATCATTCTCCTCCTAAGCGTGTCAAAAGGATAAGCAATGACGCCTGCAGAGGTAGTAATGCTCCAACCTAATAGAAAGCTAGCCAAGAAGTTTCCCTGTCACATAATTAAAGAACAATTTTCAGCTATTGTTTGCTTTAGACTAAACAATTTAAAACGGCATAGATAGATGCTATTACCTCTAAGGAACCGACTAGAACAATGGGTTTGATGGTATCGTACATCCCAAAATACATTCCTCGGTACAGAGTGATTCCCACTATTGACACGCCAAATCCACGGTAAAGGCCTTTAATACCATCGCTCGACAATGTTTTACGATACACATCAATCATCCCTTTAAACTGTCTCTTGCCATTAACAGAACACTCCTTTGCATCAGTGCCTAAACGGGTCCGCGCATAATCCAGATGGTACAGAAACAAGGAAGTTGTTGCTCCAGCAGCGCTTCCCGAAGCTACATTTCCAGCAAACCACTTCAAGTAACCATCTTTCTCTTTCGAACATCCGAGAAGGTTCTTGAAGTAACCTTTAAATGCAAAGTTGGAAGCCTAAGAGCAATTAAATTTAGTGACAATAAGAATTTAACACAAATCTGAGGACGTTGATTAAATGGGCAATTGCAGGCAAAATGAATCCATGGAAGTACCTGTGTAGGGAAATATCGAATGACATTGGCTTGATTTCCTCTCCAAAAGGACAAAACACCTTCTTCTCTAAAGATTCTGACAAAGCAATTACCCAAACCAGTATAAGGTCTTATGAGATGTCCTGTCTTTATCATCTCTCCTTGATTCTGCAGTAAAAGCTTCACCCTTTCGATTGGAGCAGCTGCAGATTTAGCAACAATGGCTGCAGCACCTCCCATCACAAAATCCGCAGAGAATCTCTCGGATTTTCCGACTAAAGCCATCCTCTTTTTCCCCACCTAATTCAACACCAACGAATCAGAGAATATTCTTTACCAATAAATATAGATGTCATAGTCAAACAGTTTCTTCAGGATTCTAGAAATTTCAAATCCTAAAGCTTAAACCACCCCCAAAAGGGATAAAGTTTCTAACTTTAATACAATCAAACACCGAATCAAAAAGAACAAAAATTGTAAAAAGGAAAGGTTTTGAAGTGAAAAACCTGGAGATTGCTAAATGATTCCGCCGGAGAGAGAAAAACTCGGCGGCAAAAGATTGATTTCCAGGTGGTCGAGGAGAAGAAGAGGAAGCGATTTCGTTTTCGTTTTCGTTGTTTTTTTTTTTTTTCACAAGTGTAACATATTATATCTCTTTTCTGTTGGGCCTCATCTTTTCTGTAATCTTTTAAAGGGCCTTTGTTTTGGCCATGTACTCTTTGGAATGTGAACCCAATAAAATAGAAAAGAGATAATCATTTCTGTGAATTGAAAAGCTGGAGGTGGAGGACAGGGCAGGAGCAAAGGATGGTTTTTTTTTTTTGTTTTCTTTACTTAAAAAAAAGTTTTGTCCTTTTTTAATCTCGAATTTGAAACCAGGATCTGAAAAATTCTGGTTCAATGGAAACCGGACATTTTTAGTCATATGAATTAATGGTTTAGTAAAAAACCGGAGATGGTTCGGTATATGGTGACTGATCTGTGTGTCTTTTCTCTTTTTTCCCCGTAAAGGTTTAAACTTTTGCAGAGAGACTGAAGAGCGAAGCAATGGAATCAATGACGCCAATCTCGTGCCCTACGACTCCTCGTTGGAACCAAGACAGGCCATTTCTCACTGGTCGCTTTCATCAGGTGCTCGATCTTTAGTTTTTCTTGATTTTAGTTCTCTCTAATTCGTTCAAATTATATATTTAATTGTCGACATTGGTTAACTTTTGAAAAAATGTATAGTTTTGACAATGGGTTTATCTCAGGAAACGAGGGCAAGCTCCAAATTTGCTGATTCTAAGAGGTTTACTTTAGACTCGTCTAGGTATTTTGAAAATTTATGCTAAAAATTAGTGATACATCTCTGTTTCAACCTCCAAAGTCAATTCCTTTTTCATCTTATTCTATAGAGTCATTGATTTTTCAACTCTCCATTTGGTTTCAGCAGTTCTGGAGTAGAGCAGGCAATTGGCTGCTATGACACACCGGTTCAGGTTTGTGTTATTTTACAAAAAAAAAAAAAGTGTCTCTTTTTTATTTCTAGCCTTCCATTTATCCTGTAACCTTGAAACTGGTGGTGGTGTCGTTCAAGTTTGGGTTTAAGTTGTGTATTTTTTCCAAGTTGGCATCATTGTAGGTGAAGATGGTTTCTCGTTTTCGTGGCATATACTAGGTCACTAGGATAATTGATCTGAGCCAGACAAATTATGGAACTTGCTAGCCTAGATTTAGACTTGGTGTCACCTCTTTTGTTATTTCAGAAATATTTTTTTGTCCCGTTTGGCATGTAGGAACTTATCGTCATTGATGATCTCTTATCTGCGTTGGTTGGAATTGAAGGGAGATATATATCAATTAAAAGATTCCATGGGAAGGAGGATAGTATAGCTTTCCAAGTTGATCCATCAATGGATTTGGCACTACAGGTGAGTAGTACTCAACACAATAACTTTGGATTCCTATCCCGAACATTTTAATCATGATGGTCTACAGTACTCAACTTGAAAAAAACCTGTGATTTCT